AATCAGTCATTTCCCAAGGATAAATATGGTAGAAGTTTTCAATCAGCCTGGTACTGGAAAAGTCTTCCAGGGAACATTAAAGTACGAAGAGATTGGTTATGCTATTCTATTAAAAATGATAGTGCATTTTGCTTACATTGYATAATATTTGGTAAAAATTCAAAACAATCTTGGACAAAAATTGGATTTAAAACATGGACCAGGGCAATATCTAGTATCCAACATCATGAATGTTCAGATTGTCATATAGAGGCTTCACTAAAATTTAAACTAAGGAAAAGTTMATTGCCAGTTATTCCCCTTCTACGGGAAAAACTCAATCAAGAAAAAGCTACTAATAGGGAAATCGTAAGATGTTTAATCGATATAGCACTTTTTTTGTCAGAAAATAACCTCGCATTTCGTRGTCATCGAGAAAGTTTTAAAAAGATAACAATTAACCAAGGAAATTTTATAAATTTAGCTCGAGTAATGTCAAAATATTCACCATGTTTATCTACTTATATTGAAAAATTACAGACTTCTACCAAAAAACCGGAAATTAATTATTTATCAAAATTGAGACAAAATCAATTAATCTCTTCAATTGCACTAAACATAAAATTTGTTATTCAAAAAGACTTGAGTATATCAAAATTTTTTAGTATTTCTGTGGATTCAACCTTTGACCTTTCTCGAAGAGAACAAATTTCTTTCATCATTAGGTACATTGACAACAATGGTGATATTTTTGAACGACTTTTAGCTTTAAAATATTCAGCTATCACTACAGGAGCTCAATTATTTAAAATATTTGAAGAAGTATGTTCTAAATTAAGTGTTGATTGGACTAAATTTTTGGTAGGGCAATYATATGATGGAGCTCAGAATATGAGAGGGGAAACAAATGGCTWACAAAATTTAGTTAGAAATAAATGTCCAACAGCTACATTTATTTGGTGTTCTGCACATCGCCTTAACTTGGTCGTGGGTAAAGCAGTGAGTTGTAATAATGATGCCATTGATTTATTTGGAAATCTTGAACTTGTTTACAATTTTATTACTGGTAGCAAAAAAAGAGTTGCAGTTTACGAAGATTTTCAAAGTAAATATTCAAATACTGGACAAAAACGAAGACTTAARCGTGTATCAACCACAAGATGGATGTCACAAGATTATGCTTTGCAAGCTGWTTTGGATACTTTTGATTCTGTAATTTATACACTTGAACAAACTAGAGACACTGAAGGTAGAAATGATCATAGTGTTGGTCATTTGGCTGGTTGTCTATTAAATTATCTGCTCTCCAAAAGATTTATTATGACAGCAATAAGTTTTAAAACAGTATTTGATGTCTTATCAGTTTATCACCATTAAATACCATATTACAATCTTCAGATTTAGATCTTTTTGCAGCCATCCATAGTATTTCTAATGCACAGTTAAAAATTAATAATCTTCGACAAAAGGATGGAGTATTTGAAAGTTTAATGACCAAGGTTAATGACTTCATTTCTGACAAAGAAGAATTCATTTTTTCAGATCTACAAGATAAACGTATCCATAGAAAAAAA